TCATTATATCCATGCAATGATGCAATGACGCTAAATTTGTAATTACCATCTTATTCAACATTAACTACCTCTTCAATATATTGCCTAATATGATTAGGAAATTGAAGAGTGAACCGATGCAACATTAATTGCTTCTTTAATTGTGGCTGCTTCTTTGATTGTGACTTTTCCTTCGAAGTCTGTGATGGTTGAGATTGCCTCTGTGAAGATTGAGATGTTTGATCAACATACACATGATATGAAGGGTCCCTATAAACATCATATCCTACCAATTTCTTCCATTTCTTCTTCACTCCTCCTTTGGTTTTTATTTTCTCATGTGGTGGACACATTGAAGTCGCTATGGGGTAAGCAAGTTCACTAACCCTACTTTTTAATGTTATTTTCCCAACATCTAGTGATATCCATAATTTATCGATTATACTACTAATATCCACCTTTGATTCATTATCTACATCTACCTGCAACTCAACTTTCATACTTAGTTTCCTTCAATGAACATGAACATTGTCTATTGATATCGATATACCACCAAGTGTGTATCTTCCTAACTCACGAGTACAAAATAACACATAAGATGTTCTATGAGTACAACCACTTATTTTCCTGTTAGTTCCAACATAATTAACCCTCAATAACTCTTCAGCAATGCGTCTCTGCCTATGTGGAGTCAACTATGTGTCTTTCACATAATCAACAAATTCACTACAATCAACACATATCTGCTTAAGTTGTCTATATTTGTTTGTCTTATAAGTGATATCAATAATTAACACAATAGAAAAAATATTCAACAACTTAACTGAATCTGGATGGGCCCACACAACTTCTGAGTCATCTTTTTTTCTACTTCAGTAAACATAGTATGCATCCTCTATAAACTTAAGTAAATGTTGTATCTCACTCTTAGGACCTCTTATCTCTTTTTCTAACATACTCTAATGCTTATATACTCGTATGATCCGAGTGACATTCTCAAGATCTCGCTCTTGCAAAGAAAACAATATGTATCTAGGTGAGACATATCTCTTTGTCAAATCAACAAGGCCCAATCTTTAGTGGAAAAACTCAAGAGTAACACCATGCATGCATCAATCATCACACTTCATGCATTAAAAAAATAAAAACAAATATCATTCAACTATCATGCATAACAAGTCGCTCTCCTTCATTCTTCAAGATCGACTGTCGTCAGCACTATGCCATCCAGGTTTCACAAATCCCAATTGGTACTTCAAAGTCCAACATCCATTGATACATATCCAATTACTCATTATATGTATTACATGCCTCATTTCACACGTGTCACATCCACATATGTGCGCATTATGCCAAAGACATCTCATGCATTAATAAAATCATCCGCACAAAACATGCATAACATAAAACACTATGTTGTACAAATTCAAAATACATTCATAAACATGCATCCTTATTACATACACATATAGCTGAACATGCATAGAAAAGCATAAAGATTCATGAATTCCCGTAAAAGTCCTAAATCAATCTCCAACTAAATAACATCTCTCTGACTGCTCATCCTAGTGAGTCTGTTATACAAACATTCTACATCATTCGTAATCTTATTTTCCATATATATATATAACACTCGTCAGTGTTGGCCTCATGCTTACAACACTCATCCGTGTTGAACTCATTTTTTCGATACTCATCGTGTTGACTTTTACTTTCCGACACTCTTCCGTGTTGGCCTATTTATTTCAACACTCGTCTGTGTTGACATCAGCTTTCTAACACTCGTCCGTGTTGGCCTATTTAATTTCAAACATTCGTCCGTGTTGGCCTATTTATTTCAACACTCGTTTGTGCTGAAATCATCTTTTCAACACTTATCTGTGTTGGTCTATTTAATTCAATACTCGTCGGTGTTGGCCTATTTCTTTCAACACTCGTCCGTGTTGACATCAGTTTTCCAACACTCGTTCGTGTTGACCTCATGCTCACAACACACGTCAGTGTTGACCTAACTTTTTTGACACTTGTCCGTGTTGACTTTTACTTTCCAACACTCATATGTGTTTTCCTGTTTTATTTCAACACTCGCCCATGTTGACATCAACTTTCTAACACTCGTTCGTGTTGGCCTATTTTTTTCAACACTCGTCAGTGTTGGCCTATTTCTTTCAACACTCGTCCATGTTGACATCAGTTTTCCAACACTCATCCGTGTTGACCTCATGCTTACAACATTAGTCTGTGTTGACCTTATTTTTTTGACACTCGTCCGTGTAAACTTTTACTTTCCAACACTCGTCTGTGTTGGCTTATCTTTACAACACTTGTCTGTGTTGACCTTATTCTTACAACACTCGTTTGTGTTGATTTTATCTTTACAACACTTATTCGTGTTAATCATATCTCTCAATACTCATACGAAATACCAACACCCGCCCGTGTTAGATTTGCCTTTCCCCAGCTTGTCTTTTACAAATAATAACATTATCATCAAGCATACATTACAAAAGCATACCATGCATTAACACATATATCAAGTATAACCATATCAAATCATAGTTATTTAAACATGCACTGCATTCATTCACACAGGCCCAAAAACACTTCGAAAATCTCAGGCCTATTATCCAGCTAAGTCACCTCCGTAAATGGCAAGTTCAAACCTTAGCACTTTTTCACACTATTACAATATGATACCTCGGTTAATAACAAACATAATATTTAGAGATACCAAAATTAAAGTCTCACTAGACAGTATACCTACAACACATATCCAAAGCCTAATCATCATCAACCTATGGGCACACTATTCAAAATATCAATTGTCAAATTTCAATTATCAAATTCCAGTTATCAAAGTTTCAATTATCAAGTCTCACTTATCAAGTTTCAATTACCAAAAAATCAATAATCAAATTCCAATGTCAAATTTTAAACTTGCATTATTTATCCCCTAGGTTGTGATATATGCAAAATCTGTGATACAACTTACTATGTTAGTCTATGAGCGATACCAAGTTGTTTTCCAAACCTTTCCAACTCTATTAGATGATTCCCTGGCAAAGATAGAGTTGATACTCACAATATTTATCCCCTAGGTTATGGTAGATGTGCAAATCGATAATATAACTCGTCATGTTAGTCTCTGAGCAATGACAAGTTATTTTTTTCCAAAACTTTCGATCTTGTTGGATTAGTCCCTTGGCAAAGATAAGATCGATACCGCACTATTCATTGGATTAGTCCCTCGGCAAAGATGAATATGAAAAATCTACGATACAACTTACTAAGTTAATCCCTAGACGGTAGCAACTTGTTTTTCAAACCTTTTAAGCACTATTGGATTAGTCCATTGGAAAAGATAGAGTTGATACGTACATTGTTTATCCCCTAGGTTGTGGTAGGAATGTAAAATCTATGATATAGCTTGTTAGGTTAGTCCCTAAGCGGTAATAAGTTATCACCAGCGTCTTTTCTCATGTTTATCTGATCAGTCTCTTAGCAGAGATAGATATGTTAATCAACGCTCCAGACATTGATGAGTTATCTGCGTCATCCTTGTCTTTTTTAACTTTTTACGTGTTTTATTTTTCAAACTATTTTTCAAATGTGTTCAAAAAGTCACTGGTCATGGGATCTTCCATTATTTAAAAACTCTCCAATCCGAATATGCGGGAACTTCGTATTCTCGCACCCTTCAATTGAAGAGTAATTAAGTAGGAGCAGCTGTCATATTCCAAATTTGTCCACCCTATTTCTATAGTCGAAATATTTTCAACATCGTTTTTTTTTTAATTTTTTGTTTATTTATACTAACATTTTAACATTAATTTATTTTTGCTTATTTAAATTTTTTAAATATTTGTATATTTTAAATAGCAAATATTTTTCCACCCATCTTATACTTTCAAGTGTTTTTTTATTTCAAATAAATGAGATAGCACAATTGATAAGTAAGGAGGTAAAGTTTACTGTTATAAGGTTATATATTTCAATCTTACTTGATATATTTTTTAACATTTTTTCTTTGTTACTAACTTTATTTCTATTTTAAAATCACAAAATTGTATTTTTTTAGTATTTTAATTTCAATTTTCTATTTTATGCTTTTTTAAATCATTGTTTTTATCTATTTTATGTATTTTTCATTAAAAAAATAACCTAAAAAAATCATAAATAAATTTTGAGCTTTTTATTGTTTGGGCAATTTTCCTTTTTAGCAATTTGACCTAATTTCTTACACTATAAATGAATCTTTATTCCACCATAAATGATCACTCACAATTTTCACACTTTTCCATGATACTTTGTCTACACACATTATCTAAACATTTACAATTCACACTTTCTATTTAAAATTTCTTTTCAAAGCTATTGGTGATATTTTTATTTTGGTTAATAATTTCTATACAAAACCACCTTTTTATTGTTTTTTTTTTTAATTTAAATTTATTTTCAACCATAATTATCTGATGACTCCTTTTAGACTTTCCACACAGTATACATTACACAGATTCTAACAATATCCCGTCTCTCTCTCTCACGTGATTTTTGATCTTTTACTGTAAATATTTTACAATCTCACAGACACCTAATTTTTAACAGAGCACAACTTCTACTCACTCAACTTCTACTCACTCTCAACTTACTTTTGGTCAAACCACTTTCATATAACTTTCTTACAGTAACAACTCCACAACTTGTTTGGATTGTCATTTTATTATAATTGTATCTTTATTTGAGATCTTGGTAATTTGTTTTCTAGAGTTTAAATTCTTGTGGTGAATTCTATTGTCATTAAGCAGGGATAGTGTGTTGTTGTTGTACCATGATTATTGCATTCTCTTGAAATTTCCAAGCACAAAACCATGAAAGTTTTCTTTTGATTCAAATCCATGAAAGTCATAACACCACATAAACTCATCATAACACAACACAAATTTTCAAAGCTCATGAAAATCATAACTGTATCATTACTATAAATTACAACCATTACAAATGCATCAATGTGATTTAAGTTTTTACAGGAAAAGCAAAAGGATGAAGAAGATGAGAAAGAGAAGCCGCCGGATCCGACACAAACGACCTCGGCTCAGTCCTTCGCTACAGCCATCACAACGCTGGACTAGCTCTGTTCCCGACGCCGACGCGATGCTCCAACCGAACCGTCCAAGGCCGAGCACCACCTCACGCACAACAACGGGTACCGTCACCGTACTCCCTCCGACGATTGCCGATCCTCTCCCTCCGATCGAGTGCTTCCGACCTACATGCCATAGAAGGTCGCGCCGACTACGAACGCCAAAGGCCACAAGCTGAAATCGCGTCGTTGCGAGTTCCATGGATCCTCCACCAGGTTTGCTAATTTGACGCGTTTGATTTATGAATTTTCTTTGTTGATTTTCATTATTCTGCTTTTGAATCGGGTATGTTGGGTTCGGTACTTCAAGTTTTTTCGGAAAAAAAAGGTGTTATGAAGTGAAGTGAAGTCAAGAGTAGACCGTTCATCCCGTCTCACCTTACTAAAATAAAAATGGGGTGGTGACGTATGCTAAGTGGAAATTGGTAAAAATCTAGTTTGCTCCATCAAAATAGAGGACGGCGACTTGTCCACTTATTTTTTTATTTTTTTAATATATTAAAAGTTTTTTATTTTTTTTTATTTTTTAGAATAATTTTTTAAAAAGTATTTTTTTAATAAAGTTTATTTAATAAAAATTGTATATATTCATAAATAAATATATAAAATAAAATTATCAAAAATTAGACTTCCTGACTTAAAGTGAAATAAATTAAATGAATAGACGCGGATTTTGACGAGTGACAAGTTTTGATAGAATATACTTAGTCATACTTAAATAAGTTTTAACATATTTAGGAGACATCCCATCTAAAATTTCAATTAATCATCTATTTTTTTTATAAATTCAATTAATCATCTATTTTTTTTATAAATACACAAACTAACCGACAGACCATGACTTATTTTATCATCCGTAGTCACGAGTAATGAAGAGCAGCATTTGTTTTATTCCACTAAAGTCCCTGTTTTATGATTTCTTATAGATATCTATCAGGATTTGTTTGTTTTATTTTATTTTAATTTTATCATTTTCAACATGCCAAGTGTTAACTCATAATTGGATATCTCAACATTTGAAAATAGGTTGGACAAGTCAAAGCCAATTTTTTTTAAAGTTAGCTCCAGCCATAATAAAATGAAGGGGCGTCCTGCTACTGCCCATATATTATATTTTTTTTCTTTCTTATTTTATTTATTTTTGATTTATCTAGAACTAGGTTTTTAGTATGGGTTGGACTTTTTATCTCTTATACCAACACCCATATTACCAAATAGCGCACCCCTAATTTCAACTTATTCATTTAGTCCATTTTTTTATTCTTCTATAAATTAATTACCAAAGATATTAATAACGAAAAACAATAAAAATACAAAACACAAAAAAATATTCTTTTCAGTTTTATTAGTCTATTTTATTTAACTAGGATAATGAGATTACTTACTTAATTAAGGAAAATAATTCAATTTCTGTGTATATAAATTAAATCTTTTTTTTCAAATCAAATTAATTATATTTTTTTTTGTGCAAATAATATCAAATAATCGATTAACACTTTACTAATTAATTATTCAAATCAAAACCTAAAATCCACACCAACTCATTAAGTATTTCTCTTTCATCAATCAAATTTTTTTCATTCGATGTGATAAATTTATTTTTGTCCACGTGCAATTAATTCAAACACAAATATTTTTCATAAATACGAATTAAAAATGGGTGAATCCACATTCATTAATTTGAGTGGTCAAAGACTTTAGCACACACTATGTCAGCACGATCATTTTTTTTCCGCAACTAAAATCAATCAACAAAATATTTGAACTACGTAGGATTCTGATTTCTCTCATCATCCGATGAGAGATACGCAGACACACAGTTGCGAGACCAAAGCGAGTCCATTAATATTTTTTCCAATTTTAACCCTTGCATAAATATTTTTCCCTTTATAAATAAATAAATAGTAAAAAAAAATAAGCAGAAATAAGTAAACACACATAACAACGCTAAGATTAGAGAAGGTTCCCCTTAATTGACTTCCGAACTCTTAACTTAGTTACAACAACCGTCTTATCTGTATCTTTAGGGTTTTCTCGTTATCTCCTCTATCTTTAAGACAAGTAAATAATGGTGAATTTTTTCAATTGCAACAAGTATAAACCTATTTTCATAATAGATGAATCTTATGATGATAAAATTAAAATAAATAAATAAATAAATATTAATTAGATTCGATCAAATTAATTTTTGACAATTCTAAAATAATTATCCGAGTTTGTCGGAAACATCCCTACAACACAAATTAAGCAATTGGATCAGTTCAATAGCCAATCCGATCTAATTAATTTACACAAAAAGACAATAAATCAATCGATTTTAATCAAATACACCAATGACAATGACAGGAGATAGTGTGTTTTGCTTTTTCAATTTCTTCCCAATCTGAAATTTCAGTCAACGACATTCACTACTAAAAATCACATGGGAAGAACCTACAAACCTGACCCCAATTGATTTCTTTTTAATGAAAAGAACACCACTTTTCTTTAATACAAAACTAAGACTCGTTAGGACTAGGACTAATGGTCATCTACATAAGTGGTAAAATAGACATGTAGGCATTTTAAAATTGGAATATAATATACTTGAAGTAATGATATCAACTTGAAATTTAAAGACTAGGACTAATGGTCATCCATAACATTTTGAAATTTAAAGAATCAAGTTGAAAAAAAAGACTTAATTAATCCGAGTTGAGCGACAACTAGAGTAACTTTGTGGCTGGTTATTTAATGTAAATGCAACTAAAAGTGCACAAATATATTTTATTAAATTAATTTTGATAATTATTATAGTAATATAAAAATAACTTTAAATAGAAATAATATTTTTTTTATATTGGTCATAATTTTTACAAAAATAAATTGATTATAATTTTATAATTTTATTTTTAAGAAATAAAATATATTTTTAACATGATTAAGAAGAAGAAAATTAAAAGATTATAAAATAATAAAATTTATATATGTATATATACTTATACAAACTTTATTATTTTACAGTCTTTTAGTTTTTTTCTTTTCCTTAATCAAATTAAAAATGTATTTCTTTCTTGAAATTTAATTTTTAAAAAAACAAAATATTAATAAAGTAAACTTAAAAAGAAATATTACAATCTTGTTTTTTTTTTTAGTTTAATTAAATAGATATTCCTTTTTTTTTTATACCAATTTTAATATCTTATTTAATTAGAAATGATAAATAGAGATTATGAAGTTATTGAATAAATAAATTATATTTTTAAAGTTTGCATAGACATTTAAATATATATTAGTTATTAGTTTTTGATCTGACCTGATCAGAAATGGACCGTCACGGCTGGCTCCGAGCAGAAAGCTTTTTGAACGAAGTGGGGGGTACCTGCAAGGCACTCCGATGCTGAAGTAAGTAGGAGTACGAGCAGATAATAACAAGTGTAAGGTTAGAATGATGAATACCTGGCCCTTTGGAAGCAGAGGGTATTTATAGCCCCCAGCGCTGGGCCAAGGTTCCTTCATTGGGCCGGGCAGGTTTGGCCCAATGGAGGAACTGCCAAGTTCTACGTGCATAGTGGGGACCCGCACGTGGTCCCCTTCCTGGATGTGCTGCGTGAAGTGCGGGCGGACGGAGACGCGGTCTTTTCGGGGTATCGTTGGGGGAACAGTGGACTGAGTCTGCCCTAGATGGGGTGCTCGAGGTAATGTCGAGCTGGACCTCAGGATGTGGTGCTGGACCGCAGCATGTCGAGCTGGAGGTGTGCTGTCGGGCCTGCGACTACCCATCAGGCACAGTCGTGCTCTTTGGTCGGCGTGGCCCTTGTAAGTCCATTTGGACTGGGCCTTTGCAATGCTTTTGGGCCTGTCGGGCCCAGTCTAGAACAGGAGCCCCCCAAGTCGTGGTTCCTTTGTGAGGAGCCATGGCTTGAACTCAGGTCGTTTCCTCATCGAGGTCTCGTGCCCGGGACAGAGGTGCAGACCCTCGTGGGCCTCCTCGTGCCGTGCTCGGAGACATCTTCCGCGGTGGATACCTGGAGAGTCCTCACCGGGGCGCATCTGTCGAGCATACGGGGTATCTTTCGGGAACTGTGTCGCCACCCTATGGGGATAGGGTCATCATTGCGTTGGGAGCAGCGCGTCGGGGAGAGAGACTCCGTGGTTGCCCGAGGTGACGTTTGGTATTCCACGTCATCACTATAAATAGGAACCTTGGGCCCCATAACACGTTTCTATTCTTTGTGCTCTCTCTGTTGTTGCTCTTCCAGATTTTTCCCAGTCGCGATCTTCTGTTACAGATTCTTCTACTCCGTAGCCGAATCCTACTTTTTGATCCAAGTAAGTGGTTTATCTTCTTCATTTTCCTTTTAAAGTGCATGATTTGTGGCGTTTGTAGATGTTTTAGGGACTGTGCGCGTGGGTTTTGCCCGATAAACTCATACTTGGCTCGACATATTCATGCTTAGGACCGGCAAACGCATGTTTGTGGTCGACATATTCATAGTTTTAGGTGATAAACTTCAGCGCTGCCCGGGGTCTTCATGATCCAGGGCGCCTGATTCATGATCGCGCCCGGTATGTTCATGGTCTTGGCCGTAGGCTTCATGATGTGGCTCGCCATGCTCATACCTTGGGTCGACATGTTGGAGAGTGGTCGCGTAGTTGGTTTGAGGAAGAACACATCGAGTTTCAGGATGTCGGGGAGGCAACCACTCGTGTAAACTGACTATGTGGTCGAGCGTGGGACGACCTGGTTTGTCGAGCGTATGGCTTCGTGCCCCAATTGACTGGTTTCCCGTGCTCTGCAGGTAACCATGGCGGACGAGCCGTGCTCCTCCGGGCGCCACGATCGTGAAGAACAAAGTGCCGATGAGTCGGTCAGCCTGATTGATACTGTGACCGACCCTTTGCTGGATTGGGTGGGCGTCGAGCCCCGAGGGATCGCGTCGATCTACAGTCGGGGCGACCGAAATCCATATGCTGTCATCGAAGCGGGCCAGGGCCAGCCCGACTTCCAAAAGAACTTCGTTGTCATGCGCCCGTCTTCCCGTTCAAGGATCTGCTCGGTGTATCCAGAATATAGCTTCGCGATGTACGAGATCGCGTTCAAAGATCTTGGGCTGCAGCTGCCCTTCACTGATTTCCAGGTCGGGGTCTTCACTCACCTGGAGCTGGCCCTGTCCCAGCTACATCCAAACTCGCTCGCCTTCATCCGGGCGTTTGAGTTGA